TATATAGGTGTGTATGTGTTCTTTTTATTTATTTATTTTTAGGTTATTTTATTCTTATTTATTGTATATATATATATTATTTTTCTGAATAATTTGTTTTATTTATTGTACATAGAGTGTGAATGTGATCTGTGAACTCTATTATAAATGTCCTAGAGACAGATTGTAATATTTTTCAATAAATAAGTAAAAAAAAAAAATGTTTACTGTAATAATTATAGGAGTGACGATCGGTGGGGTGTCTAGAGCGTTGCCATAATATTCTGGCACGGTGTTTGATGTGGATTAGGTCTATGAGGTGTTGGGGCAAACTATTTTTCTTAGGAATTTTTTAGGAGAGATTTGGGGAGGAAGCAGTCCAAATTGCTTGTTGAATAGTGGTGGTATAGAAATGTACTGCATTATCAAGGTTTTCTGGGGGTTTCAGGGATATTCTGAGGTCAATTTTATGGGAAAGGATTTGATGATAGAGTTTCCAGTTAACTGGGCCTCTGATGAAGGACGGTGGAGGGGGTTTAGGAATAGGAGCTATTGATAATTGAAGTAATAATGGACTATGATCTGAGGAAAGTTCGTCAAGACAGGTAAGCGAATGATTGAGGGGACCTAAACCACTATGAATGAAAAAATCAAGGATATCAGGATTGCGGTTAGAATCAATGGGCCAGTAAGTAGGTGAGTTGGGTGGAAGGAGCCTGAAACGTTAGGAATTGAATGCAGAAAGCAATGTTCTGCCATGAGAATTTTTGGTTTTTGTGCCCCATTCTTGGTGTTTAGCATTTAAGTCTGCACCCAGGATGAAGTGATGACCTAAGGAGTTGAGGAGGGAACTGAACTGGACTTTGGATATGGATCTGTTAGGAGGGAAATATGCTGATGCAAAGGTGACCGAAAAGGAGAAGGTTTTGATTACAATAGCGGTTGACTGTAGGAAATCTTGAGTAGATAATGGGAGTAAGTGATGAAAGAGGGATTAATGTACGATGACAGCAGTACCGGCATGTTTTCTACCGTCAGGATGGTCAGTAAGGTATGTTATGTACTGTGGAATTTTTAAATGCTGTTTTTTGGTCAGTCGAGTTTCGAGTTGTAATTAGGGCTACGTCAATGTTCTTGTCTTGTAGTAATGCTTTTAGTTCGTCAGTGTGATTTCTAACACCATTCGCATTCCAAAGGAGACTGGATATGGGTTTTGGGATATAAGTTATTAAGGATTTTTTAAAGGAGGGATGAGGTGAGATACGAGATTTGTGAGGAGTGATATGAGTGGAGTAACTAGGGATTTGAAATCGTTGGGGAAAGATGCTAACAAACTGGTGAGATCTGTTGCATTTGAAGGAGGAGGAATATGAGGTTGTTGATGGTTAGGTATGTTAGTATGAACATGATATTGAGGTTGGGGTTGAGGTAGTTGCTGCTGCAGAGCTTCACATTTCTTAGTTGGGTTCTTACCTCCAAGCAGTTCGGAGAATGATACATTATTATTCACTATTCTAGAAGGTTCTCTTCTTGGTCTTGTTATCTCATCTTGAAGCCGGGTATTCTGATATTCTGATTTGAGGTTCTTGTAAGTTTGGCAGCCTTTGCAGTTGGCCGGGTGTCCCTCTAGACATAGGACACAAACCGAAGAATCCTGTATAAGTCTAGTGCACTCTGCCGATTTGTGTTGTTCGCCACATTTTACTTAACGCGGCAAGTGGTGGCAATAAGTCTTGGACATACGCTTGGCAATTATGACATTGCACGATTTCCCTCTTGGGGTAAGGCTTCTTTATCTTCACGATAGTCTAAATCTCTTGATTTAATAAATCTTATCGACACCAGGTGATGGCTCGAGGTCCACAAAAAATAAAGGTAGTGGAATTTTATTTCTTACTCCTGGCTGCTCCCTATTTTCCTTCAAAACGTTGGTTATCTGACGCACGTAAATTTAATATAAAGTAGAAATTGTTATCACAGCAATAGAATGGAAGAATGTCATCATCGTAACTACAGAGACTGCAAGAAGAGTGGTAGAGTGGATGCTACTTACTCTGAAGCTATGGACGATACGATTGGAAAAGTTCCAGGACCAGATGGCAGAATCAGGACCAGAATTTATTAAATACCGAGGCAATGAAATGATTAAATTCCTCAAAATGCTGTTCCAAAAGAATAGGGGCAATAAATAAGAAAAATAAGAAATATAAGCAAGTGAATGTTGAAAATATAGGCCAATAAGCCTAGGGGCTGGAGTGAATGAGCAAGCAAACGCGTGTGCACAGCACCACGTTGCCCAGCGACCTGGTGAAAGATAATCCGATAAAATAATTGCGAGTATGCTTTACCGTGCCATGGAGGGGGGGGGTATTTTATCTGTGGCATTAATTTCCCACCCTCAACCCTTGGCTAAGGAAAACATATATACACTATTATTTAGAGCAGCGACCACATCTTTTCTCTAAGGATGACAGTAGATAAGGCTTGGGACCTGCGAAAATCGAGAATAAATGACATCTTCTTATTGTGCAAAGCATGGATTGAGATTTTACAGTGTAAACACGTTTTAAGGTGTAATCTAACTAGTTCTGCCTTACATACTGTTAAAAAAGTTGCTCTTTATTTACATCCTTGGGTATTATTTAGATAATCCTTACCTCTATCAGGTTATTTTCTTTACATGTAGGATAATATTCCCAATTAGTTTGTATTTTTCTTTCGTTCAGTTAACATGTAGTGGGGTTGTAAAGAAAAGTGAATAGATGGGATGGCCTTACACAAAGTTGGAAAACGTAGGTCAGAGATTTTCGACACTTTGAAACCTTTGGGTATCATAGCCGTATGTTCGTGTACCGCACTATAAATAGATACAATGAGACCCTATTTGTATGTGACAGACCTCGACGGGTCGTCCTCGTACTGAGAACTTCAAATGGAGTGAGAGCAGTGGCTGCTCGAATCACATTCGAAAACAACAAATCATGTCACGGGAAATGGGAATCTCTGTCAGATCAATGTCTCGCATAATAAAAAGTGACCTTAGGATGGGTCCATTTGGCAGAATGACAGGACAAATGCTAACCACTTCCCTAAAAAAAATTAAAGTGGCTAGATGCAAAGTGATCCTTCACCGGAGAGAGGAGGAGGGTTTTAACTATAGGATCAATTTTCCAACCCCCACCCTCTGGCCTAGTAAAACACATATACACAATTATTTTAGAGCAGCGACTGTGTCGTATTGTAGGACAAGACACTACAGATGAGCAAGGAGCTTTCGGACATGGAATACAGACCCAGGACCGGATCTTTTCCCTAAGGGTGGCAGTAGATAAGGCCTAGGACCTGGGCAAGACAATCTACATGGCAATCTGGATCCCAGGGAGACTTTTCAATCAGTCCAGAGGCAGACTATGTGGGATACACTAATGACAAGAAGAGTTCCAGAAAACTTTGTGAGCGCTATTAAATCAATATTTCAAGGTCCAAAGGAAATTGTAAAAATCAATCGTCTGACATCGCCGTTCTACTATAGTCATAGTCCTCTGCTATTCATTCTTCTAATGGCTCAGGCATTCTGCTTTGAAAAAGTAATCAATCAAGGTGATAGCCTAAGCTCCCTTTTCTTGATTTTACAATATTGAAAATACATTATTTTATAACCCTGGGACTAGTCTAGCCTGTTCGGTCTTAGTGAACAGATCGTGTCTGTACTTCAATTAGTTTTATTCTTAACTTCCAAGTTTCATTGAGTTTTAAATTACTAAAATATCTAGTTAGTATATTGAAGTACCAGTTTCTAAAATTTCGTCTAATTCGGACGATTGACTTCGAAGTTATTTGAAATCTTAACTTCACGAGAAGGCAGCCATTAGAGGAGCGACCAGAGCTGATGCCGTGGAGGGGATTCCCATTGACAAGAACTCTGATGGTAAACAATTGCTAATACCAACTGCTGGTTTGCAAAGCTGCAGGATTACGACGACCCCCTGGTAAACAGCCTACATTCTGGTATATTAAGCAAACATAGTCTCATCCTTTGTTGTGACGGCCGGACCGGCTGGACTATTAATATATCATATCTTTGGTAGAATATTTAATTATACAATAGTAAAATTAAATAGAATTCTATTAAACACTGTTGTATTACGCGCTTTTTAATACTTTTGTATTCTATTTTTACGGATCGGTGCTACCTTCGTTAATAATCTTGGTAATTGTCTATTTGTTAAAATTACACTTTTTAACAAACGTCAAGTCATATTTTTTTTTATCTTTTTAACCACGCAGGACAACTTAGAATAGATTAAATCTATTTAAAGCATTGTTTTAACCTCTATTTATTCTTTAGTCTATTGTTTCAGCTAGTAAATATTACTTTTTACTTGACATTTGTAGAATTTATCTCGACAAACACATAGTGCGAAACAAGTCTTGTTTGTTATTGTTAATAATTAAACTTAGAACTATTATTAAATTTATGTTTCTTTAACTATTGGTTATATTGTTTTATCGCACATGGTTATATATTTTTATCTCGTCGTGTATAGTTAAAAAATGTATTATTGTTGGTTTTAAATCTATTGAGTGATCCAGAATTATTATTATTTTTACATTTCGAATTAACTCTATAGTTAATTGTTATTTATTTAATTATTGTCTTTTTATTATTTTATTGTATTTATATATTTCTTTTTTTTTTTTTTTTTTTTTTTTTTTTTTTAATCTTTGAGTTTTCAAATTTATCATTGTCAAGTCACTATCAGCTGCCTAGTAGCTTAAGATTTTCATTACTGTCACGTATTCTTTTTTTTTTTTTTTTGACTCACACATAATATTTATCTTTATCTCCTAGAGCCTTCCTATTCCCCTTTATTTTTTTTTCTGATTTTTTTTTTTTTGTGTGTGTTTGTCTATCTATTTATCATTAAATTATTTTTTCTTTCATAAGTGAAATATGGAAGCGAAGAAAGGTCGAATTAGTAACAATTCCAAAAAGATACGGTTTGATACGATCGAACCCAATGAAGTACTGCTACCCACTGAAGAAAGTTTGGAAAATGGAAATGAATCCTATTGTGATAGATCATGGTTCGTTAGATATAATTAAACAACCGGACACTCAGTCTCCTATTAAGCTACATTTGGACTACGCTGGAACGATTAAAGATATGTATGAGAATCAATCTTTATTATCGAATAAACTCACTGATATTGAAAAAGCTGACCTGGACCCAGTCAAGCTTTTAACTATGGGCGCGGAAAATGAGAGGAAGATTAGAGGAGTTTTGAAAAAGAAAACTAACAGTATTAAACCTGGGGCGGTAAAGGAAATCACAGCGTGTCTGGATGCCTTGTCTTAGTTGAAATAGTTTCCCACTTAAGCTTGGCATGTACCTTAAAAATGGGTGAGTTGGAAGGGCTTAAAAATCAAATCAAATGTGTTTCAGAAAATGATTCCTTAAATGCTGAAAGTTTAATAAGATTAGAAGAAAATTTATCAGATGTTATTAAAACAAATAATAAAATTTATAGAAATACTAAAAAAATATTAGGTAATGAAAACGCAATAAGTAAGAATGAAATTAGTAACAGCCCAAACGAGTCAATTGATGGGCTCATTGGAAATAACGATAGAAATAATACGAACAATTATACCTCCTGTAAAATACCACTAATAAACGATTTCCGGATGTCCAATGCTATTTCTATTACTCCTGATCCTAATGGAAAATTTAAAGACGTGGAGGAATTTAAATCCCAAATAAAGCTAGCTCTTCGGCCTAAGAGCAAATGTCTACAAATTGATAAAATTTTCAATACCAAACAAACAGGCTTAGTAGTTATAGCGGGGAGAGATTCCGATAAGAAAGCTTTACTTAAAGACCCAGATATATCGAAACTCGGCAAGGTATCCGAAACAATTAAGCTAAGGAATCCACGCGTAATTATAAAAGGCGTACCCAGGAAAGTAGAAGACGCAGAATTTACAATCGAAGAACTGGTCGAATGTATCTTGGCTCAAAATGAAGAAATGGAACTAGGCCACCCTGAAGAGTGCAAGCTTGCATTTTACACTGGTAGAAGATCGGAACCGAGAGTCAACATGGTCCTGGAAGTCAGCCCACGCTTAAGAAATATGCTCGTATCCAGAGGACACTTATACTTAAATTTAGATATTTGTAAAGTTGAGGACTTTAAAGATGTGACAAGGTGCTTTCGTTGTCAAAGATTTGGGCATGTGCAGTCTAAGTGTAAGCACGAGGAACGGTGCTGTCACTGTGGTGCTCATGGACATAAAGTAGGGAATTGTCCAAGTTTAGACCAGCCACCAAAATGCGCGAATTGTCAGCTGAAACATAGATCGTCGTTTTTTCGATGCCCAAGTCGGAGTGAGGCAATTAAATGGTTCATGAATCTCACTGACTATGGACGACAACGTTAATCAATCTCCCCGCTGCTACAGGAATTTTGGCACTCGTTCGGGTATGGGTCTTCACATCAAGCGTGCTCACCCCGTCTTCTTCAATGATAATATTAACACGGATCGGAAGAAGGAGCGTTGGACTAGAGAGGAGCTTCAATTACTAGCTCTGAATGAAGCATCACTGATCGCTCAAGGAGGAAATGTAAGGATTCGGGACCTTGTCGGTATGCAACCCGGTAGGTCTATATGGAGTATACGAAAGGCTAGAACAAAAGAACAATACCAGGATCTCCTTCAGAGAGTCATGGAACGACGTAACGATGAAGCCGCAGATCCTAACCCAGCTGTTGCCATAAATAATGGTACCACGGATAAGCAGGAGTTTCTGAAAGCAGCCAGAGACTTATGCCAGGAGATAACTGATCCTAATTCAGTATTGGCTTCACTTTTGGAGATTGCAGAGGAGGAGGAAGACATTTCGGAATCTCTTAACGCATGGCTCGATTCAGTGGTGAATGTGAAAAGCAACATTTCAAATGAATCTGGTGAAAGATCATTGCCCGCTAATTCTACTGTCAGAAGAAGGGAGCAGTTCAAGAAGATTCAAAAATTATGGACAAGAGATAGGAAGAAAGCGGTTTGCGAAGTGTTCAACGGTACCACAGCCCGTAACAAGCACAATATTGAGCAACTCGAATCTTTCTGGAGGCCGCTGATGGAGAGAGCATCATGTCCCAATGTGCCGGATACGCCAATTCCGCATCAGAAGTTGTTTACATTATGGCTGCCAGTTACAGTTGATGAAGTCAAATTAAACGCTATGGACAAAAAATCTTCAGCGGGATCCGATGGTATCACTGTAAAGCAGTGAGAGTCTGTTGCCCCCTTACATAGGGCCATATTTTATAATATATATCTGTCCAACCCATCCCACTTACCAAAGTTAACTGCGGCCCGGACTATATTCATTCCGAAAACGGATGATCCCGCTGGTCCTAGTGAATATAGACCCATCACAGTTGCTTCAGTCCCTCTTAGACAAATGCACAAGATAATTGCAACTCGTCTAAACGAAATGGATTTGCATCATGTAAACCAGCGAGCGTTTATTGCTTCCGATGGCACTGCAGAAAATATATTCTCATTACAATCAATAATGGACGACTCTAAAATGAGAAAGAAGGAAATCCATGTAATGTTTATGGATATTGCCAAAGCTTTTGATAATGTGAGCCATAATGCACTTTATAGAATCTTAGAATGGAAGGGTATGCCAGCTGGACTTATTGGTTACATGAAGGGGCTACATAGCAAATGTTATACCCGCTCACAGACAAAAAGCAGCATACGGATCCTATTGTATGCGGAAGAGGTATAAGGCAGGGTGACCCATTATCCCCTAGTCTCTTTAACATGGCAATGGATTGGGTAATCCATTCCCTTCCAGATGGAATAGGCTACGATATGGGAGGAACAATGGTAAACTGCCTGGCATTTGCAGACGACCTAGTTTTAATCACATCCTCATCGAAAGGCATGAAAAGATTACTATCGGACGCAGCTGCATCTATTCAAGATCTGGGAATGGAATCCAACCCAGCCAAATGCTTTAGCTTTTCTCTCGTCAAGGCCGTCAATTCTAATGTTATGAAGGTTGATAACAAATATCATTTCGTAGTAAATGGCGCTAGAATCAAGCAGTTAGGTATCTTGGATTGCTGGGAATACCTAGGAGCGAAATTTTCGTTGAACAACATGAATGCCGAAGGGATTATCGATGAATTATCATTATTGCTGCAACAAACACTGCACCCCTAAAACCTCAACAAAAATTAGTGACTTTGAGAACTTATCTCATCCCGAAATTCATTCATCTCCTCACACTGAGCCCAAGCAAAATGAACGAGTTGAGAAAGTTGGATATCTCAACGAGAGCGGCAATACGTTCCTGGCTGCGACTGCCTCAGGATACCCCTACTCAGTATTTCCACTCTGCTTGTACTGATGGTGGTTTGGGAGTAATGAGCTTTAGCAGTGCTATACCCTCACTCAAGCTCGCGAGATTACGACGTATGGAGTACTCTGGTTGCCCAGTAGCAAGAGCCGCCTATCATTCCTCCTTTATTACTAAGGAAATGAGAAAACTCATAAGCAACCTCACGAAAATGGGCCTCAACGCGGAAAACACTTCCAATGAAGAACGGAAGAAAACGCTGTCCATGAAGTTATATCGTAGCGTTGATGGTAAGGCATTAAGGGAGTCAAAAAACTGCCACCCATCAACTCATTGGTTGACAGACTACGCGGCTCCGATAACCGGACGGACCTTCATACAGACGGTAAGAACTCATATAAATGCCCTCGCAACCCGAGTGAGATTATCCAGAGGACGTAGGGCTTTTATGCCGACCCAATGCAGAGCTGGGTGTCCTGCAAGCGAAACTGAGAGCCATATTATTCAACATTGCCTTTTGTCTCACGGTGGTAGAGTGCGCCGGCATGATACAATAGTGAACATGTTGGAAATTGCTCTCCAAAAGAAAGGATACAGGGTCACAAAGGAGCAAATGTTTGTTGGTAATAGACGAAGGTGGAAGCCAGACCTGGTGTGCTCGGGACTAAGCGGACACTTCATTATAGATGCACAGGTCGTCGGGGATAACCCTAGCACCACTCACTGGAACAATGTCAAAGCCAATAAATATAGGGACCTAGATTGCAGGATGGCGATCGGGCGTACACTGGGAGTGCCAGGCGTGGACATAAAAGTACTGCCGCTCACAATAACTTGGAGAGGAATATGGTGCCGAAGATCTTTCCAAGACATGGATATGTTGGGAATTCCCAAGAGAACGATGAACGCTATTACAATAAGAGTCCTTAAAGGGTCCCACATGAATTACAGTAATTGGTTCAGGCTGCTTCCTCGTTTATAGCATGATACTCAATGATTATATCGATGTCATAATTTACATTTTTACGTTTTGTTTTATTTATCTTTATTTTTTATTTTATTTATCTATTTATTTATTTCATTTTTATTTGTTTAATTTTATGTTTATTTATTTACTTTTTTTTATGATTATTTTTTTATTTATTATTTTTTTATTTATTTAGTTATGTACTATAGTACTACTTTTTTATGACTTATATTGCGGAGGGATTGCTACCTCCGTGGTTTTTAAAATTACTTTATATATAGTGTGTATTTTATGTATGTATGTATATTTTTTCTTTTATACTTTTATCGACGCAGCTGCTTTTTGTATGTAAATGCAATGCTCAGTATATTATAACTTAATATTAGTATGTTTTTTTGTTTTTTTTTATATGATTCTTGGATTCCAATATCCAAGATAAAACGTTACGATGGTGAAGGTAGCACCAAATTGAATTGGAAATTGAGAAAGGTCTGGAGTTTTGTTACTTCGAAAAATATATTAACTATGTATGAACTACCAAATAAATAAATAATAAATAATGATTTTACAATATTGAAAATACATTATTTTATAACCCTGGGACTGCCCCCTTAGAGCAATTTATAAATACAGAAAAAATGTCTGTGGCAGTATAGGACTTCTGTGGGAGTCTTGGGCCGAAGAAAGAAAAAAAAAATGTTTGTATGGCCATACATTAAATTAAATATTTACAAATCTCATTCAAATTAAAATATTGGAAGAAGGAAAAAACACTAAAAATAAAAAAAAAAAACATACAGATATTATATAAAACAAACATGAGAAAATAAAATAACATAAGTAAACAAAATCATTTCCGGAGGAACCTAAAAAGTCCTCTTATGTACATTTCGTGATCAATCGGGTTGGGAAAGGTGTAGGTGCTTAAAAATGAGAGATTTAAATGAGGAAACTGATTGTGCATGTCGGATATCAGGAGGGATGGTATTCCAGAAGGAGACGGCTAGAAATATAA